CCGGAAATTCCGATGTTCCTTCCGGATCCGCCGTCAATCTCAAGAATTCCCAGGTAGCCATCCACCCCCGCAGCTACTTTCCTCCCTCTCTTCCCTCCGCCTTCCTCTTCAAGACCTCCCTGATCGCCGCCCTCCTCAGCTATTTTTTTATGATTGAATATTGCTTAAATTTTAATTTTAAGCAATATCAGTGTCTTTAATTTTACAAGTCCAGGTCGAATCATGCGTATTTCCTCCAGCGATCAACCCTCCCGGTTCCACCAAGACCTTCTTCCTCGGCGGCGCAGGTTAGTTCTCTCGTTTATCTGCTGAAGCAGTAGTGCAATTTCAAAATCAGCGCCGCTGATATGGTTATTGATAACATGCGCAGGGGTGAGAGGGATGGAGATCGAGGGGAGGTTCATCAAATTCACTGCAATTGGGGTTTACCTAGAAGATAACGTTGTACAGTCACTCGCCGTTAAGTGGAATGGCAAGACCGCCGACGAATTGACGGATTCCCTCGACTTCTTCGGAGACATCGTCACTGGTAAGGATTCAATTTTCAGTTTTTTTTTTTTTTTTTTTTGTTTCTTTTAAGAAAAAGTTATTAATCCCTAATTGTTAATTTTTAGATGCCTTTGAGAAATTCACAAACGTGACAACGATACTGCCATTAACTGGCAAACAATACTCCGAGAAGGTAGCAGAAAACTGCGTCGCCTACTGGAAAAAAGTAGAGAAATACACCGATGCAGAGTCTGCCGCAATCGAAAAGTTCCTCCAAGTATTTAGCGACGAAAACTTCCCTCCTGGAAGCTCTATCCTCTTCACTCAATCACCGGAGGGCTCATCAACGGTGATCACACGTTTCTTGGGCAATTAAGATGATGAACGATGACTTGCTTTTTTCGCCTCTATTAATCGACTCCTTTACTGTGTGTTGTTGATCTGCAGATTAGCTTCTCCAAAGATGATTCGACCCCTGAGCGCGGTCATAGAGAACAAACAACTCTTGGAAGCAGTGCTTGAGTCGATTATCGGTAGGCACGGTGTATCCCCTTCAGCAAAACAGAGTTTGGCTGCAAGAATATCGGATTTGCTGCTGAAGCAGAAGGAACCCGAGAAAGTTGCTGCTGCTACTGCAAAACCTCAGGAAAACTAGGCCAGGCTCGTCATGTTCTATTATTATATTAGTTCATTTCTCAGGACTAAAGAAAGTATATCCTCTGCAATTCATGGGCTTTAAAGATGAGAAGAGACTGTTAAAAGCTGAAAGCATTTGTATCAAATATGCTTCAACGAATGTTGAAGAAAAGGCTTAATTCTTGGCTACACAGCATCAGTTGTGGTCAGTTCTTGCATTTAATTTATTCTCCTTCTTTTTTACCTAATTACTTCAACAAGTCATGCATTCATTTAGTTTGATTTAATGATTTTGCATCTTTTATAGATTATTGAACAAAGTTCCAGCAAGTTGTATCCACCTAAATAAACTATCAAGAAATTAAGATTAGCTTCTCATTATTGTGTTTCCTCTTTGAAGTAGGTAATAACAATAGCAACAAGGAAGAAGTTTCAGAGGCTTCAGCTGCTGGAGCTGCTGTTTCTTCTACGATTCGGCATAACCCGCTTGGTTAGTTCTTCGAGATTTATGGAAAATTAATTTAATTTCTTTCCATCATTAATATGCTTATTTTTGGCTTTCTGTAACCTGTTTTGCATTGTATTTCCGTTTTAATTTGGAAGAATCTGAAAAAGAATATTAATTCTGAAATTAAAGAAATCTCCTTCTCCTTCACCGTTGCCTGCATTATTTTCTCTTATTTTTTATTCGTATGAATCAACCGGGCACCGCGCCTTGCGCGGTGCTCCATCACTAGTATATATATATATATATATATATATATATATATATATCCACTCATGAAAAAATATAAAAATAAATTTCAATAAAGGAAAAAAGTATACATTGAGTGCACACAACATTCACAAAAGCACTAACAATATTGCACTTACGATTCAGTAACTTTAACAAACATTTAAACTTAAACCTCTATATATTGATACAGTTCGACTAGCGAAACATTAAATTATCGAGTTAATAATTTATCTTGTTGACACTGAGTAGGGATCGAAAAAAATTATTATTTAAGCGAAGTTATTAATTTATTTATTACTAATTTATCAAGATTCTGCTGTATATTCATAGATGTCAACATGTGGTAAAAAAATTACTTTAGTTTTGTTCATATATAAGAATGATTATTATTTTGATTAATTTTATTGAATTGAATATAATTATAAGGTGAACCGTGCAACTATTGCACGGAGTCAATGCAGATGATGCAAAAGTCTGCATGGCATGCGGAACTATGGATACTCCTCTTTGGAGGAAAGGGCCGAATGAGCCTCAAGTGAGTTTTTCTCTTTTAATATTTATCCATTATATAACTATATTAATATATTGATAATTCATGAAATTCAATATTATTGGAATCTTTATTTTAATGAACTTCGTAATTATTTAAATGTATTCTAAATATTTTGGTCATGCAAATAATGAAAAAATATAATAAATTAAATAAGCCTGGTGCGATAGTTGAGGATTTAAATTTGCTTATTTATTTTTATTATATACGTATTTTACATATTTTATAATTAATTAACTTACTAATCATAAGGGTTTGTTTGTTGTGCAAACTTTGTGCAATGTTTGTGGTGTGAAACATGCTCGAACTCTATTTGTATTATTCTTTTATGAAGTTAAGTTAGTTTTGTCGACGTATTGTACTATGTGGTTTTAACTATATTTAGGGGTGGAATATGGAACGGAATTTCCGATTTTCGTCGATTTTGACCTGAAATTTTCCGATTTTGAAACAATATTTTTCAAATTTAATCCTGAAATTCCCAGTTGCGGTTTTTCCGAAATTATTTGGATTGAAGTTGGAATATGTATGAGATTTCGATTTATGATCCAATTTTATGCTCCAAAAATATTCCGCAAATTCCGATTTTTTATCTTCTGATTGTTACGCTTAAAATACCAATATTATTGTGTACTTTATATTTTAGTTGACAAAAAATTAAAATTTTTCGAAAATTTTCCGATTTCGGAACAAGTTTTTTCATTCCAATGTCCGAAATCCTGATTCCGATTTCTTCCGATTTTATTTCGAACAATATTGGAACTAGATTTTCACTTTCGCAAAAAATCATATTTTTCACGAAGGGCTAATTTCGACCCGATCCGTCCGATTTACACTCCTATATTTATTTGAAGCTAAAGTAATTTGTGATATTTATAAGAAACTTTATTGAAAAAATATCAAGAGAAATTGTTTTTAATATTTATAAAGATGTCATGTCATTTTTTATCACTGTTGCAGTAAAAAAAATATATTATATTTTCCAACACTTCAACAATTTATAAAAATTAAAACCAACTTATATGTAAAGCTCTAAATCTAAATTAATAAAAAAAAAAGAGTTAATTAAAATTAATAGTACTTATTTGAAAGACTGTTTTTTTAAATACTACAATGCTTTCTCCTCTCTCCTCTAATCTCTTCCATTCAAAAACCCTAAAATATTAACTTTGCCGTGTTACAGCGCCGCCGTGATGAATTCAGCGGCGGGCGCCTCTTAGGATTTGGTGAAAAAAATAATAGGAAAATAGTCAGCTGGTGGGAGAAAGAAAAAAATGAAAATTCCTTCACCATAAAATTTGGTGGAAAACTAGAATTTGAGTATACGGTGATACAGAGATTCAGGGTGGGAGACTAAAAGCACATAAATAAGGTAAAAGTGGCGATGTAGAGACAAGTTGGAGATGCTCGAATGACCCTTTTGCGTCTTCAAATTCTGAAAACTCTCGACGATTGTTTCATTATCGAATCATGTGGAGGTATCTCTTAATAAATATAGGGTAAACAAAACTTTATCCTTTGAATATAGGGTATTTTACACGTTGCCCCCAGCCTTCAAAACGGTGCATTGTTTCTATAGACTTAATTTGTTGTGCAATGGTCTGAAAGTTGCCTATATTCGGAAAATTATGCTGGAATTAAAATAATAAGTCCCGAAACCTGATAACAATCAATCGTTCAATGATCAATACTGCTGAACATCTCTTATATTTATCTTTCAATTTATTATTAAGGTACCATCATATAAATAGAAATTAAAAGAATATGTCCCCAAACTTGACGCAATAGTTCCCAGATCAATATTGCATTGTCCTGCAAGGGATGACCTAACAGTTAGAACAAATGAACTTGTGTTAATTAATCCAAGTTTGAATCTCCTTGTCAATGGTCGATATCGTTATGTGGAGTTTATCACACATGGTTAGTCTGGTGTTGTTTACGTTTCGTATGATTTGCAAACTATTAAGATATTATTTGTTATAATTATTGTTGAAGAGTATTTATCTTTAACTTCGCAGGATAAATAATTGACTTTTACTTTGCTTTAGCGTGCAAGAAAGTGCATGGCTGGAGTAACAATTAATAATTTAGGGACGCCATATATTTAAAGACTGTGACAATGATATGATTTTTCAAATGAGTTAATATACTATAGTTTATCAAACCAAATCTAATTAGAATTAAATGGTAATTCTAAACTATCATTTTTTATTAACACTCTTATTTCAAAAAATAATATGATCCATCTTCCTAAATTTTCTTTTGTCCATAACTTGCTCTTATACCCTATATTAAGGGTGATGTCGGTTCGGTTCGGGTTTAGCCTCAAACAAAAACCGAAGTGGTCGTTCTTAAAGAATCAAAAACTAAACTGATCGGTTTCTTACGGTTCGGTTCCAATATTCGGTTTTGGTTCGTTTTTTGTTGGTACTGGCACTCCCTAAATCCATCATCATCAACGATACTGAATGGCCTATTATCCTTGATGCACATGTGCAAGTGCCATTCTACATTTCTCTTGGCTAACGTATGAGTAGTAAGCTCACCACAAGCATCCTCCCCCTTCATGCTAGGCTTGGATTATAATTCAGGATTGACTGTTTTTTTTTTTTTTTTTTTTTATCACCCATGCCTTTCCCCTCTTTCCCACATACATAGACGATGTACGAAATTGATGTTTTGAATGGGTACTAAGAGCATCAATCCCGTTTTGTCTTGTATCACATTTAATCTTCTTTAACAATAGCGGCATTAAGTGGTCAATGCACCCTTCATGTTAGCAAAATGATCCCAAACCCAAGAAGTTCGACGACCGTCTTTTCTTTTCAGTTGGTTCCACATTTGCAGTGTCTTGTTCTTGCTTAGTGTCATTTTGTTGCTCAGTCAAATTTTTGTTTTTGTTATTCTCCAACATTGTGAGATCAAGCAGAGTGTCCAAATCAAGTTGATCCTCAGATTCCATCTACACAATATACATAAAAAATGAAATTAAACACAATTTTTGCATAAAAAGTAAAAAATATTCAATATGGACTGGACTTTGAACAACTATATACAAATTGTGAAAAACAAAAGCCGTGATTTCAAAAACAAACATTTGTACCATTTTCCATTATTCAAAATCTCTCACATTATTCAAAATTTCAGCAAATTCAAAATTTTCAACAACATCCTATTTGATGGTTAGCACCAAAAAAAAAAAAAAAAAAAAAATTAAACAGCAGCAGCAAGAATCACACACCAAAATAACCCAAAACTAAATTTAGAAAAAAAAGTTGTTATTTATTTTACAAACATT